ACACACACACACACAGTTGGGTGGGGGGTGGGAGGGTAGCTTCCTTATGGTTACCACATAGTCTAGTCACTCAAAGACATGGTTTTAAAATGCTGAAAGCGACTTTAGTCCATATCATATGTTTTTACCACATTCAAAAAAGTCGGGGAGGGGTTGGTGTAGCTCAGTGGTGGATCACATGCATAGCATGCACAAGGTCCTGGGTTCAATCCCCGGTACCTCTACTAAAAAGTAAATAAATAAATAGACCTAATTACCTCCCCCTCCACAAACACCCGCACACACAAAAAGTGAGAGAAAAGAATTAAGATGTGGGTCATCTGGCTTAAGGAAGAGAAGACTTTAATAAAGAAACAGAAAAGTGATAAAGAGATGTGTTCAATCTAAAGTGACAAGTGAAAAATAAAAATTCAAGGACTTTTCATGCTCTCCTACATAAAAATGCCTTCACTTTTAAAGCCACAAAGAATATACTACGACTCCCACCACACTGATTTCTCAGATGGTCCGTGCAGAGTAGAACAGAGACGTGACTTTTCAGTTAGACAGATGGAAGTCACCAACTACCAACATTCAGAAGGAAAGGAGCGTAAACAAGTGGTAACTCAGAACAGTTTAAAACTGTTATTTCTCCCTATGCTGACACATGCTTTCATCCCCAACAACACTCTACTATCATGCTGTTTATTCCTTCCAAAGCTGGAACATGTATCAGTCAGTTAGGTTCGTGGAATGCACACAAAGACGAAGTCTAATAGCTTGAGTTCTATCACGTGGCCAAGCGATGCTGAAAGTCAATCAATATTCAAGGTTCTATCAAACCAGGAACCCAACAGCAGTTAAACCGGAGGGTCTTGGCTTTGTGTTACGAGCCACCACCAGGTAAGAACTCTGGCAGGGTAGGGAAGGGCTGCTTACCCGTAGGGAAACACCCCTTTCAGACCCCTGCAAACAAAGACTTCTTTATTCTAAGAGCCTCTCTGTCCCCTAGCTGAAAGATGCCCCCCACTCATAGAACCAGTAAGAGATCAACCACATCTGAGGTCTCAGCCAGCTGCTGCTAGAGTTTTACTTTCCAGATTACTGAAAATGCATTTAAAATGCTAGCACAATCTCTGGATCCGTGCTTTTTAATAAGAGATTCCCAGTGGGCTGAATATACAGCTGAATGCTCTGTGTATTACAATAAACTAAAATGTTAAATGATATAAAACATTCTTTCTCACATTACTGTTAAGGAAGAAGCACCACTCTTCTTATTATAACCCGATGGTCAGTTAATAAACAGCTCTAGGGACTAAACTGAATTCCACAAAAAGATGAAAGTCGTATTTCAGTCTCAATTATAAAAACAGAACACTAGTTTACCTACATATAACTTAGGAAGAAGAAGCCAGTCACAGCACAAGAAGTTCTTCAAACCATGTAATGTACCAGATAAGCATCTTTAAATATTAAGTTTTAATTACATAATTTCCGATTCAAAGGAGAAAGAGTATATCAAATTCTGGCACTGCAAAACCTTACCACTTGTATGTCTGCTAATTTGGAATTAAAGGTCTTTGTAATATAATGAAAAAGTGAGCCTATTCAGTTTACTAATTGTACAGATTACCTTGAGTATAAATTTTAAGAATTTTTTTATATAGTCCAGGTATACAAATGGTGCTCCTAATTACAAATCAGTTCATACATCTATGAAAACTGTTTCATCAAACTGCCTTCCCTTCCCCTCCAATTAGTTTGGTGAGATTTCTCAGTACAGTTGACCCTTGAACAACACAGAGGTTGATCCAAGTATAATTTATACTTAGCCTTCCACATGCGCAGGTTCAACCAGCCTCAGATAGCGTAGGACTGTAGGACCTACTATTGGAAAACATCCATTTACTAACTGGACCTGGGCAGTTCAAACCTGTGCTGATCAAGGCTCAACTGTATTCAACAACAAATGTTTAACAGTTTCAAACATTAAAAGTCTACCTAAAGAATACTGAAAACAATCTAAATCTGGGTTGTTTAATTAAACCTTGGTTAAGGCAGATCTTTAGAGAAGGAAGCACTGAACATACTTGGAGAGAAACTGGAATTTGCACGTTCACCTGAGTGAACCACAGAGTGGAACAGCCAAACAGATTCACCCAGCAACCTGGCCCTGAGCCAGTCTGCTGTAAATGCTGATGTGTGGACTAGATAAACACCCTTCTGATAGTTCTTAAATACTATAGAAACCTACATGATCTGTTCACCTCAGTCTGCAAGTGATAAGAGCTTCATCTACCTAAAAGAAAATGCAACTCTTACCCAACTAATAAGTCAACTAGGGAACTGCTGGACTT